ATCAACTAATGTGATCACAGAATGTTTTTGAAATAGCTTTTACCTGAGTCTTTCTTACCACATGTTCCAATTTAGTATTTATTCCATCATGTAGGACAGAAATGTCATGACACTACACACACACACACACATCACATCTAGTGCTTAGAGTCAACCAAAATCAAGAGACTATAAATCTCTATGTTATGTACATAACTGCCACATGCCCAGCCTAAATTATGCTGTTCAATTAGCAAATTTGTGTATTTAGTTAACATGGAACATTCTAATAGCTTAGTTGGTACCTTTCTGCTGAAATATAACATCAATGTTTGCCCAGTAGCCTCCTTCTTCTAGGATACCTGAGAAAAATAGCCAGTTAAGGCCAAGAAATTATTAAATAGTACTGATTTACTTTGAAAAATAATTCCACACAATAATTGATAACATCTTGATTTATTAGCATTGTGGTATTTTTTGTCATTGAAGCTATGAACTTTATTTTTTAAAACTGAGCTTACCTAAAAAGTAATAGGAACTGTCATATTTTAGTCAAAATAATACTTATTTTTTTATCCAGTGCTATTCTGATGTAGAAAAGAACAATATGTGTGTGACTTTAATAGCTATCCATTAAAATAAATATGCCTGTGGAAATAACATAACTGTAGTAATAGCATGACACACATATACATATCCTAAGATTGTTGAAATACTTTCTATGTTATGTTTAATGCAAATTATTTCTAAGTTATTGGGTAATTAAGGCCCACTACTTGATTGCTGGAGCCACATTAGATTTTCCAATTTGAAAAATGAGGTAGATATTGAAAATATGTGTTTGCTTTAATGAAAACAACGTGAGTTTTTAAATGAGTATCCTGAAAATAATCAGCACTTTCTCTGATTAAAATACACGATGCATAATAGGCTTTTTTATTTTTTTTACTACGCATGTAACTAAGCTAAGTATCCTGCTTTAAAAAATAAAAATATACTATACAAGCATGTCTTTCATTATTACCTAGTATTGCTCTTTCAAAACATTTTAAATTATATTTATGTATATTTATATGCTTATTTGAAGGACAGAATGGCAGAAAGGAAGAGAGAAAGAAAAAAGAAAGAAAGCTAGCATAGTTTTTAAAAGTAATGGGTTTTGATGCTAGGATATGTATAAATAAAATTAAGCTTGTCTTTCAAAGAGGCATTCACTTGAAAAGACTTTAAATCTCATATATTAGTGTCAAGTCTTTGGCTGAGGTGGCTTATTCTCATCCAGTTTAAATCAAATCAATTTTACTCAACCAAATGACAGATACACTGCTCCTGCATTTGCTTTCTATCAATAAAAGAAAGTAAGTTTGAAATCATCCTTGTTAGGTACAAATGAACACATAGGCGAAACAATTATAAACAACAGAGCAAACATATAGAGAAAGGACTTGGTAAAAGAAATCCTGTGAAAAATGAATATTCTTTTTTGATGAGTAGTAGATATATTATTATTTAATACAAATAGGTTGTGCAATACAGATAAAATATTTTGTTTATTCTATTAGTCTATGCAAAATGTCAGCTAAATGAGATTGTTTCCCATTGGAAAAAAATGAGTATTCTTTTCAAATGTTGTTGAATTTTAGTTGGTGAAGAATCATAAGTTCTTTATGGAAAATTTCCCCAAAGATCTAAGCTTTTTGTTCCTTACATATTTAAGTAACTTAACTGAGTTCTAGTTTTAAGAAATATCAATTAGGAAAACTTCAGGCAAATACTCCCTCTGAGAAGAGAACATTTGGAGACAGAAAGAGCAGGCCTCCTCAACTCCACATGGGTTGGAAGGAGAGATGAAATGATGGCTGTATCTCAGAAAGTGGCTCTCTTCAGCCAGGCATAGTTGAAGGCCACTGGAGGTATGAGGATACAACAAAGTTTGCATGGGTCCTTGCAATTTGTAAGTTGCAAGGTTGCATTGGGAGAGATAGAAGTAACTGTTTCCAAGTAATGTGAAAGGTCAGAGATACACAATATGGAGTATCCGCAAAGTGATACCCAGTCCTAAGTTCATGGCTAGTGTCAGAAGTTGTATCTATAAATATGTGAGATGCTGGGACACTCATCTTCATTAGTAGGTTAAATCTCTTCTCTAGTGAATGACCGCTGCATGTTGACTATGATAGTCACTGTAGAGTATTTATGCAAGCTTGCTAATGAAACCCTCCTACCACCGGGAACAGTGCTCTGTGGTGAGGCTGGAATCAGGAGTTCTAATAGAAAGGGTTTTGTCCACCACGGTCGGTTGTGGGAATACTTTACTGCTTCACTTTTAGTCAATGGAGAACTGCAGAGACACAACACTGACAGATCCACATGTAGGTCCCCACCAGATGTAAAATCCATCCAGACATTTTACTCACTGCTTTGTACCGAGATCTGTGCAGAATGAAACAGGATTTGAAGAGTGAGTCATGTATACTAAGAAAGGAAAAATACAAGAAGTTTTTGAAGGTAACAGACCAGAGGGTTCCTGTTAGGGAGAGAGGGATAACTCAATGATTATCCTGGTGGCTGCTACTCATTTGGAGACCCATATTTCATATAAGCTTAATTCACTTGTGGGACTTTTATTTACTGACTAATCATTGTCCAGCCAAGGCATCCTAGGTGGATTAACACGTGTTCAGAGAAAGGAGGAGAGTGGAATGAGTGGCCAGTTACCATAGGCATGTGTACTGCTTGAGGCTCTGGCCTTGTCAGTACAGAATTACTGTGTTACAGCTTCCATTCTCCGATACTTGGCACTAGTTTCTGTCCTTTTCTGGCCACTGATGACTTTCCCTAATGACCTCTGACACTTGAACCTGTTATCTTGAGAGCAACACTTGCTTCTGACAGCTTTAACTTTTGGCCTACAGCTGCCTTGCATGCAGAATGCCCTAGCATAGTTTTGTTCTCAAGACACTTAGTTTCTGCCAGCAGGACTGTGATACCTTACCTATTCCAATGGGCTAACCAAAGAAAAAAAAAAAAGCACTCACTTCTTATTTCCTGAATAAGATAAGAATAAGATAAGTTTTCTTCCTTTCTCCTAGGAGTGGAGATGCAGGCTGGGAAAAAAAAAAAGCCACAAGGTTAAAACAGAAGTGGGTGGAAAACAGCCATAATAATATAGTCAGGCAAGGCCAACAGAGAAGTAGCTGTGACATTCCTACCAGTCTATGCATTTGAGACATTAGCCTCAATTCAGTCTTGCCTCTCTCTGTGGCTCTAAAACATGTATGGACACAAGGAAGAGCAAGTGCCCAGTGTTGGCTTACAAGTTACTAATGAATGAAGAACAGGAAAAAGAAACAAGTCAAGGACAAAAGAGGTGAAGTTTCCCTAAGAGCCAGTAATGTTAAGATCTTGGAGCTGGTGGCAGTGTTGGTCTGTAGCCTTAGCCAGAGGTTAAGAATGTGTTTGAGGCTTCTAGCACAGGCAACAGGAACTGGACTTAGTGAAGGTAAGAAAGAGTAGATGCTTCTAAGAAGGAATAATGAATTTTATCTTGGTCACATGAAGCCTTTTCTTTGAGAAAAGTTTAATTCCCATATACCAAGATCATCCGTATTTATTACAGAGCCAATATATCAAAGAACATTTTGAAATGCAAGTAGATTGATTTATTGATAGAGATAAGCTGTATTACAGATTGTTTTCAGCATAATATGGCTATATGTTTATCTTGATAGCTAAAGATGAGCCAGATGAAATACAACAGTAAAAGAGAAATGTACATTTTATGACTGATCCCCAGTGATCAACAAACCCAATCCTATTTAACAGAAAAGGAAGCTAAGGACCAGAGAGGCAAGCATTCTCCATTCTACGAAAATTTAGGGCACTGATCATGTGCCAGGCACTTAATCGGTGTTGGGGATGTAAAGTTGGGCATGCTACTCGTACTTAAGAAGTTCATAGCCAAGATAGTGAATGGTAGGGTCTGGGAAGCAGGAAATCATCACAAAATGTAGTACGCACAGTGAGTAAAGCATACTGAAGCATCTAAGTGCAAGTAATCCAGGCTTGGGGCAGCTGAGGTGATGGTTAGGTGACCTGCAGGAGGAGGAGGAGCAAATAGACATAGAAGTAATGTCTATGTCCCTGGAAGGCAAAGTTGAGGTCAAGCCTAGTGCCTTTAAGAACAACAGGGATTAGAGTGCAAGGGAATGCTAGTCCTGAATCAAGAATTCAAAGGTCTCTGGACTCCCAGCCCAGTGCGGTTTTAGAGCACTCCCTGCCTATTGAGAGGTGGGTAAGGTTCAGCGCATGCATTAATACTGTTGCATGCAAGGTTCATGCTCCATTATGCAGAAACAGGAAAATTTTCCAAATGCCTTTGCTTAAATGTCTCCTTAGAGGAATGATTGCATCATGTTGCAGTCTTTCATTTTCTTCCAAAAATTTAGATCCATTGGGTCATATCACACAACTGTTATGTCTGGAAGGAATTTGAAGCGATTTGTTAGTGATTAAGGGAGTACAGGACCAGAGAGGGTGGGATGGGGGGTAGTTGTTCTCTGGTGCTGTGACACAAGGGGCTTTCATCATAGGGGACGTAGCAACTAATACTAAAACTGACAAGCATCCATCTGCTTATTATCACCCTAATTCTTACCGATATCAGTAATAAAATACTCCTGTCTGTTAAGGCTAACTGCTCTTACTGACTCCTAACTTTTTTGTGTGTCGCTGCACTGGGCATGCACTTGAACACACAAAAAAACCCCCAATAAATTAGGCTATAGTAAACAGTCATGCACCACTTACTGATGGGGACATGTTTTGGGCAGTTGTCATTGAGTACTTTTGTCATTTTGTGAATATCATAGCCTGTATATTTATACAAGCAGCTGTGTTATCACAGGGTGATACACTCTTATGGAACTACCGTCATATATATGATCCATCACTGATCAAAATATACTTTGTGGTACATAACTATATATGAAGTACCTATATTAGCCATTACTGAGCTAAAATTACCACTATTATTCCGTTTGATTTTTGTATAAACATAGCTAGAGTCATCAAAATCAGCCAAACCAACAAGCCCATAGCAATGTCTATCCTCCAAAAATTATAGTTGTCTCTAGTGAGGACTTTCAACCCAATCAGTCTCAAATCTGTTTGCAGCTGGTGCCATGGACATCTGTTGTCAGAGGCAGCCACTCCAGGGTCTGCAGGGTCCTCAGGGGCAGTCCTCGCTCATTCTCTCCATCTGTGCTGTCTGGCACGTGCTTGGAGGGGTAAACACCGAGGGGTCTTTTATGCCCAGCTGCACATCAAAAAACCGTGTGGACAGTAGCACACTGTAATTTCTAGTGAAGGTTTCTTGGACAGGATAACAATCCTTGACTGTATAAATGCCAATCCAGGTTTCATCTGCAAGAGAAAGAGAGTTGACCCTTTTAATAGAGAAAATAGGTAAAATGCCTCTTTTTGTTATGGTAAAATGTACATTGTTTTTAAGAACATTCATGCTCTATAAGCACCATCACAATTCCTTTCAGGCATTTCCATCTTCCCAGTTTTCCTCTCGCCCCTCTCACTGGGAGCTACCCATCTCCACAAATCTGGTTACTTCCTACTAGTGGAGTAACAACAACATTTGTCTTCTTCTGAGTGGTAGTTTATCTGTTGTAGCACGTGTCACAATTCTTTCCTTTCTAATGCTATGTAGTAGTTCATTGTGTTTCTAATAGTCCATTGTGTTTTGTTTACCTATCCCTCTAGCTATGAATATCAATGTTGTTTTCACTCTTTGGCTATTGTGAATAGTGTTGCCATTAACATGCATGTGCAAATATTTCTTTTAGTTCCTGCTTTTGATTCTTTAGTATATTTACTCAGAAGTGGAATAATGGGATCCTATTTTTATATAAAATTAGATTATATTTGTGCCATTATTTTTTGATTTCTTGAGGCACCACCATGCTTTTTCCTATAGTTTGAATACCTGTATGTTGACAACAGTCTTGGAATATGTTTACTGGCAGCAGATCAGAGAAGATTCAAATAAAAGCAGGAAAGTTCCATATTCACAATAACAAGAGTAGATCTGAACATTGCAGCTTCAGGAAGTGAAATGAGAGAAGGAAAAAGAAGCACCTGATCCAATGTGTGACTTAGAAAGATGCCTTCCATCACCTTACTGGGGGTGACCATGGAAAGTCAATACATGCCATGGCTCACTATAAGAGCAAACATGCCAAATAGTTACAGGTGGCACTGGAAGGGGAAGTGTTTCAAATACAATGCTTAGAGCCTAGTGTATCCTCAGTAGCAGAGTTTACATGGGGATTTCATTGGTGGGGGCGGGGATTTAAGCATCTCATTCAACTAACACATTTTCCTAACAACTACCTTCCTTAATGGACTTAGGCCTTTTTCCCCCAGCATGCATCCCTGAGACAGATGTTCAGATCCTTCCAATCCTTACAGGATCGTGCATATTTTCTGTCGGACCACTCCTGGACCATGATTTGCTCCTGAGGTCCCCCAATAGAGTACTGGTCTTCAAAGGTGGAGTTCTGGGGAATGTCAAGAGGATCCCAGGGATCAGTCAGGGAGATCTTGGCACACTGTTTGGTAGCTTGTTCAATCTGAAACATCACTCCATCCTTGTAGAGCAAGATATACTCAAATAATCTGGAAGACAGATGGAGAGAAAATAGCATAGAATTTTGTGGTTACAATCATTATTACTTTACTTTCAAAATATAAAAAGATTATAAACACTGGGCACATGAAATAATTTGCATATGAAATAATTAAAAGAGTTCAACATTGAATATTTGCTGCACAAATTCTCATTAAAGATGTGTTGAATGCCAGGCATTGTGTTCACAATACAAAAACAGGGAAGATACACACACTGACTTAACAAATAGTTTTTAGGCTTTCTTTAACCCATAGAGACTCTGGAAATTTTGACCCTAGTTTGGTTGTTATCCTTGTTAGCCCTAAGTCAGGAGCTACAATGATACATTGAGTATAGGATAAGAAGCGACTGAGATCAGCATTGTGGTACAGTGGACTAAGCTGCTGTTTCTGGTGTCAGCAAGTTCAGTCAGCTGCTCAACTTCTGGTCCAGCTTCCTACAAATGCTACTGGAAAGGGCATCAGATATACTCCAAGTGTTTGGACCAGTTGAGGAATAGGCAGAACAATTCCCTGCCCTTTATTTCCTTGATTATCTGTGAACCAGAAGGAATGGACTTTGGTGAATGCCATTACACCCAGCATGGGCTCTCCTGACACCCTAGGGAGGCTGATACCAACAAGGACAGAAATAGAGGGGACCTCAGAGTAATTGGCTTCCCAAAGCTTAATCTGCCTGCATACTCTTGGCCTCTGTCTGTGACCATGCATTCCCTTTTGATATGGAGTGACAAGCAGATATTCTGAGGATGTGCCCAGAAGGTGCACAGCATGTATGTTGTCACCAGTCTAGTATCTCCCTTACACCTCAGCAATATTGCTGTTTAGTGAAGGTTTGTGTGTTTCCATGTACTTCACTGTTAGTCCCAAACTCAGACCACCATACTTGTGCAGAGTGAGCTTCTAGCCCTCATCTCACACAGTGGATCTGCAAGGCCTGAGAGCAGAAGGGCCTGAAGACATGGCTTTGGCCAAGCAGGCAAAGATGGCCCACACACGATCGAGAGAAGCCTCCATCGAGGCCACAAATTCTGCATCTCAAGTCCATGCCTAATTCTATCTTCCTTAGAAAAAATAACTCACATGCTAGCTATGCATATAGTCAAAATAGTATCACCATTAGTATTATGCTTTGGACTTCTACAAGCTAGTATGGAAATAACAAATATAATCTAATTTTATATAGTTGGATAAATCTGTATCTTGGGAAAGACCTGAAATGGCTTACAAGGAAAGAAACAGCCATGCACCTTTAGAAGCAGATAAGTGGTTGTAGAAAGAAAAGAGTGAGTTTCTGAGTTCACACGCAAAAATGGGGCTGAGTTCTTATAAGAAGCATGCAGGGTCCACTTAACTTAACTTTTGGACATTTGGATTTGGATTCTCACTATTATTTCAGTGCCAGTTAAGTCTCCACCATACCAAATCCTAAACTATTGAAATATTAACTGCAACTTCTAGTATATATAATGCCTTATCAATACAGAGACCTTTACCCACATATAAATCCTTCTTTGTGATGCCTTTAATGACACATGAGCTATATGTGAATCACCCCAGTCTTTTCTCTCAGGAGTAGATAGCTGTCTTTCTGATTTTTCTACTGTTTTTCTTTTCACTACCTGCTATATTGTTTTGTACTTTTCCAATTTCTAGGTGCCCAGGCTAGAATACCATTCCCAGTTTTTCTGGTTTCTCTAGCTGTTAACTTTTCAAACTTCAGTGACTGTTTCCTGACAGAAGAGCGAGCAGCAGGCTGCAGGAGAAGGTGGGGATGCCTTGACATTATCACCCACTTTTCCAATTCCACAAAGAAACACTCCTGGCAGCCAGTGCTTGTCACACTTGCCCATGACAATCTCAGCAGAACTTACTGAGCCAATGGTGGATATCTAAGCCAGGGTGAGACAATTACATATTTTCTCCCCTGGACATGCTTAAAGGGCTGCTAGGTCTGCTGAGTTGTCTGACCCTATCACATGTAAACCTTTAAGTCCCAGAGGCTATTTTCCAACACATCAACTGAACAATTGTAGGTGGGAGGGGAGGCTCTAGCAAGCTGGGATTACAACAGCTGTTCATCTCCTGGATGCATTTATTTTCTAAGATACTTGGAGACTCTGTGGCCGAGTTTCTAATAAGTTTCCTTTGTTATAACAAGCCTTCCTTGATGGGCTGGTGACTGTTGTGCCACTCATGACCAGTACTGAAATCTGACAGTAGAGGACTCCACAGCTCCAGGTAGAAAATCAGTGGAAAATGGACAGTACAGCTGATCTGGGGATTGTAGGGCATGTCCCTTTGTAGGACCAAAGAGCAACAACACCTGGTCAATCACCTGCAGTGAAAAAAAGAGGAGAGCAGGAGAGGGTCTCAGCCAGATACACTGTTGCCCTGAGGCCAGCCCTGCCCATACACTTAAGTAAATGAGAATTCTAAAGCTGAATAAATCTGAATGTTAGCATTTGTTCAATTTGGATGTTTGGCAGACATATTTGCTAGTCTTTTTTTGTGCTTCTCTGTGTTTTTGAAATCTTTGATTTTTCTAAAAGAGGACATCATCTGATATTGAGGTAGTGTTGGCTTTACCTTAAGTAGAATTTTGAAAAATATTTTAATGTAATTAAAATGTAATTTTTTTAAAGATTCCATGTGAGTGTGAATGCTGCCACCATTCTATGATAAACAGTAGGAAAGAAAAAACTTTAATGATGTTGTGGAGGTCTATATGTTAATGTAAACACATTCACAGCAGGGACATACACATAATTACAGATATGTAATGTCACAAATAGAAAATAAGGCCAAAAGACTGATAGAGGGCAAGAGGGAAACATGCAGAGATCAACCATGTGGAAATGAATCACCAGCCAGGGATGCTGTGTAGGTGATAACTCCTGAGTATAAAAGATGACTTTCAGAGAAATTGGATCTCTGGAGGAAAGGCTAAAGCCTCCTTCTGATCTGGAGGCAGTTGTGTCAGTCGGAAATACAAATAACACCCCAGGGCAGAATCAAACAAATTGTAGTCCTGGAGGACAAACAGACAGATAGCACTGGTCAACAGCTAACCCCTTCCCTCCTACACAGTGACCAGGCTTAGCACAATTCCTTGAGAGGGCCTGGAGAGTTCCACAAAGACCCCACTGCCCGCAGTTGGGCCTCATCTGTGAGCAAGGCCCAAGGAGGAGTCAGAAGGTCATACTCTCCATGGCAGCCACAAACACAGGCGGTGACCTGATCTATTTGCCTCTCATCAGATAGGACAAAGATTTTTTTTTCCCTTTAACAAAATTCTCAGGCTACAGGGACAGTTTCTGTTGTTTCCTAAAAATGTATTTTCCTAAACATTTGTCTCTGCCATCCCCATGTTTTCCAAAACATTGAGAACAATGTAGGCATTTTAACTGTGGAAGAAAATAGACTCATAGCTTCTCTAGAACTGGTTCGCATTCAGTGTAGTAAAATCCAAACAATACAGAAATGGAATAGAAAGTAAGACATTGCCAGAAACTGAGATACAGAAATAACAACTCTGTGCATCTCTCTAAACGTGTATTTTTCTAGGTATGTGTTCATGAATATAGTTATTCTTTTATTTAAATTTTAATCATGGCAAAGTGTATGTAACATAAAATTTACCATGTTAGCTGTTTATAAATGTATAGTTCAGAAGTGCTAAGGACAATCACTGTTATGCCACCAGTTTTCTGAACCCTTGCAAAATTGAGACTTGGTATCCACTAAGCAGTAACTCCCCTTCTGACTGTGAATAGTACTAACTTTGGTCACTAGTCATATGGTGACTCCAGAAGTCTCCTTTAAAAAGTTGCTTATTTTTGTAGTTAGAAAATAATTGATGGGTGATACATTTGATGCCGGTAATGCACTGTTACCCAGTTAACTGTCATGCTATTTCTTGAGTCAGTCATTTCAGTGAGTGTTGCAAGAATAGCTCTAGTGGAACAGCAGACAACATCTACACATCTGAATCTATCCAGTACTACTGTGGCCTCAGGGATTTATATGCATTCAATACATGACAGCTCATTATAGTAATTTCTAACTTCCTTCTGATGTTTCAGTGGTCTCAAAGTGTGGTCATTTTCTGACATGATACCAAGTATTCCAGGTTCACTTTGGACTTTCCCTGCCTCCAATTTGAGAGAGCAGTTGTTTCTGTAAGCAACTGTGATCATACTGAACAGGAAAACAACTCAGAAAGTAACATCAGGGCACTGGGTGTACCCCTTATCCTTGAGATGTCATTGTTGAGGACTGTCCAGTGGTAGGAGCTTCTTGTAGCTAAACCATGAACTCATACTGATATTTATAATAAGTTCAGCATTATAGATTTTTTCTGTTAATTATTTGTGTGAGGATATTTAAAAGGGTTGTGAAAAATAGAATTTGAAAACACACATTGCATTGCAATCATCTATCTTTAATAAAACTCACACATTCCACAAACACTAGAAAATATGTTCATTTGTTTTTACCATATAACAGTTTTAAAATAATCATCTCAGTTACTGCTGAGAGAAGTTTAAGATTTCATGCAGCTTTTTGTGGGTGGGTCCTTCTCGTCCATTATAATCATGCTTCTGTTTGTTTTCATCAGCTAGCATTCAACAAGGGAATTAACCATCAGAATTATAAACATAAAACTCCATGACATATGAATAAGAAGAGTGCTACATCATTCAGAATAAAGAGAGGACATCATTGCTATGGTGGGTCACTTCCTAGAAGATGCAGCAGCCATTTATACTCCTTCTCCCTTGCCTGCCATCCAATATGGTGGTTCATTCACATAGCTCATTTCCTTAGGTCTCCTTTTAGAACTAGGGGTTCTTGTCTGGAAATCTAAAGGAGAGTCTGCAGGGAGAGAGAATCCTCTAGATGTTTTGCCAAAGTTCTACCCAATTCCACTTCCTTCACTTCCCTCTCTGATTATAGTTGGATAAGAATGTGATGCTTGAAGCAGA